TAGGTAGGGCTTTCTCACAGGCAAGATCTCGAGACTCTTCCATGTGGAGTCCCAAGTGGGAGGACCAGGCACCCCAGCAACAGCTCTCAAACATGGGAGCCAGAGCTGGTGCGTGGAGAGTCCCTGGATCCACCCTCCCCCAAACAACAAGCCCTCTCACCCTGGTTGGCCAGTGGCCGCTGCAGCCAGGTCCACCCACTCTGTTCCCTGCCCCCCTTGGGCGGGGCCTGGGGGTCTGCATGGCCAGCCCCCTGGAGGTGTTTGAGCAGGGCAGCAGAGGACAGGTTCTGATCCCTTCAGTGTGCATTGAGCCCCTGCTGTGTGCCATGGCCTGCCACAGCAGGAAGACTAGGAAAGAGCACCACAGTGGGGTTCTGTGTCTGCTGAAGGTGAGGCCTCAGCAGTGGCTGGGGGTGCGTGCCAGGCGCGTGCCAGGGCACTGCGGGTGGACTGCACCCCGCCAGAGGAGTCAGGGCTCTGACACCAAGTGACTTCACACAAACTGCGTCTCTGCCACCTTAAGGAAGATGAGATCTTTAGGTGGACCCTAACCCCAGGGTGGCTGGTGTTCTCATAAGAGGGGGAAGTTGGGCTGGGGTGTGGCTCAATGGGTAGTGCTTTCCTGGCATGTGGGAGACCCTGGGGTCCACCCCAGCACTGCCCCCAAAATGGAGGGAAGTGGACAGTGGACCCTTAGACCATCACATGCAGAGGCAGGTGGGCGTGATGCGCAGAGAGAAGACGGCCACCCACAAGCCAGGTGGTACCTGAGGCCACCAGACACTGGGGGAGGCCTGGGACAGAGTCTCCCCACAGCCCTACCTGCCCCTTGACCTTGGACTTCTGGCTCTGGAACTGAGAGCCACAGGATGCTCACGCAGGGGTGTGGTGGTGTGTGTGCCCGTGTTCATCTGCAGGCCTGAGTTCTGGTGTGAGGAGTGTGTAATGTGGCCCCCATGCCGAGAGCCCAGAACACACAGACAGCCCTCAGGCCTGTGCCTGGGGCCACTTACTCTGGGGGCAGTCAGAGCTCTCTACACAACACAACGGGCACCTCTGCCCCTCCTGTGGGTGTCCCCCAGACACCAGCTGGTCAGGAGTGCCCACGCCAGGGCTCACTCCCAGAGCCTGGTGTGCTCGGTGCAGCTGCACAAGTCCCCTCCCCAAGGACAGAGACAGGCAAGCAGGCAGACATGCAGGCCCTGTGCTCAGGTAGGAAGTCCCGGGCGCCACCACACTCTGCCTCCCTGGAAGAGCCAACGTGGAAACTCCCCCGCCCTGAGTGCTGGACGTATTTTAATTAATGCTCACGACCCCCAGGAGCGGGCCCAAGGATCCGCATCCCCATCGCATAGGTCAGGACACTAAGCCCAAGGAGGAGGGGCAGCCAAGGTCACACGGCTGTCACCTCCACAGGGTCACGTTTTCCGAGCTGGGTGGTGTTATGGAGATGGCCAGCATCCAGCACTCTAACGCCAACATGTGTCCCTTAGGGACAGAACAGTCCGTCCCTGCCAGGACACAGAGGTCATGGGTGTGCTGAGCTCCCCTTGTAAGTGGCTTGAGTCTGTGTCACGCACTGTGCAGTGCCATCATGTGCCAGACCTCAGCTAGGTGCTGGGGCCTGGGTGTGAGAGGAACGACCATCTCCCATCCCCCAGCCGTCTGCAGCCTGGCACAGATGATGGACAGAAGCAGGGAGAGGCCCAAACGTGTCCTGACAAGTGGCACAGGTGCCAAGCAGGGAAGGGGCGCAGCCAGGTGCTGGGGCCTGGGCATGAGAGGAAGGACCATCTCCCAGACAGGACGGGGACCCCAGGTGCAGGCGGGCAGCTCCTGGGGAGGGGCTTCCTTCTGGGATGACGCTGAGCATGATCTGGAGTTGGGACGGTGGCTGTGGCTCACTGAGGGTGCGCCAGATGCCACCACGCGGTGCGCTCTAAGAGTAATGCAGACTGCACCTCAGCACTGCGGGCAGCGTCTAGCGCATCCGAGTCCATGTTGTATGTTGGTGTGCTCGACAAGAAGCCACTTACCACCCCCCCACACAGAGACACACACACACAGAGACACACACAGGGACACAGAGAAACACACACACACAGACACGGACACAGACACAGACACACGACACAGACACAAACACACAGAGACACACTCACGGACACAGACAGACACACACACACACACACACACACATGACAGTTCTAACTTGGCGTCACAAGGCCCTGGTTCGTTCCTCATCCAGCTGCCGCCAGCCGTGGTGCCTCTCTGAGTGCTGTGCTCCTTACACCCTGCAGGTCACTAAGGCCTAACAGGCGACAGGGGCACAGCAGGCCCGCGAGGCCATCCACTGCAAGGTGTCCTCTGGTGTCTCTACCTGGCTCTGTCTCACGCCCCCCGCCTGGCCCAGGGATGTGGGTACAATGTGTGCCTCATGACGTGTCCCTGCTGCCCTGGAGGGGGGTCAGGGAAACACCAAGAAGCACACAAACGGCTCAGGCATGGCTAGGGAGTCCCCCTGTGCTGATGCATTTGTCCACTACGTGTGATTGTGTGTCCATGCACACGGCCTGGTGTGTGGACATCTCATCTGTAGGATCTGTGCTAAGCGAGGCCGAGTCCCTGACACACCTGCAGCATGAGCTCAGACAGGCGAGTTAGTCACCTGCCCAAGGCCGTGGGTGAAGCTGGAGTTGGAACTCTCTGCCTGGAGTGGGTGGGTGGGCGTGTGGGGGCCACAGCTCCTGGGTGTTGTGGGGGCCGGTGTGCGTTTACCTGCTCAGGATGAGCGGGCATGTGTGCGTGTGTTTCGCTCCTGTTTGCCAAAGAACACGCACAGTCTCCCGGCATCCCATCCTGAGGGCAGGATCCCGGCCAGGGCTAACCTCCAGCCAGAGCCCGGTGGGAGCCTGAGGTCCTGGCCAGCCTGTGGCCCTCCACTCCAGCCTCAGTGTCTTCTAGGAAACGGGACAACATCTTCCTCCTGGGGCCACAGTCAAGTTTAAAGGGGCTTCTGGGGACACCTGGGGAGGAGTTAAGAAATGCACACCATCATTAGTCATTAACTCAAGGAACAGGCCACACATGGGGTTGGCAGGAGGACCATGGGACAGTGTATGGATGACAGTGACTGTAAGGTAGCAATGAGGAGAGAATTCACCCCTAAAGCTGAGCTGTGCTTCTGCTTCTGCATTTGGGGCGGTGGAGACGGCTGGGGGCTTCCGGAGGTCCACCTCGGAGCCTCACTGTCTCTGCAAAGTGGTGGAACAAAACGCCAAAACTTGAAAACAAGACAGATCAGAGCAGTGTGGGGGCCGGATCCCAGGCATGAGGACCGACCAGGAATCCTCACCCTGTCCTGATTTTTATTTTTGAAATTTTGCTTGCCACAGATTTCCCCCTTCATTTGAATTTTTAAAATATTGACTGGAGACGCTCATCTCGCCCCGAAGGCTGCCCTCTCCTGCTCATGCAGGCTTGAGGGTGATTCTGGGAACCCACGGGGTGTGGTGGCAGGTGAACACCAGCATCCATCGTGGCCTGGGCTGGTGTTGCTCTGCCTGCTGAGGGGCAGGGATCACAGAAGGAATGAAATATTGAAGCTGGTCAAAGAAGGAGGGTTTCACTTTCTCAATAGTCAAGTGGTAGACTATTGTCCCCATTTTTCAGAGGGGAGACCAAGACACTGAGAGGTTGCCCCTGGTCCCACCACTGGGGCCCAGCTATCCCACATGTCGCTGGGGCCCTGAGGTGGTACTCACATCGGACAGGAGGCCCAGGGTGAGAGGGTCAGAGGTCACAGGGCCCTTGTGCAAGGCCAGGGTCAGGGAGGACCGGGGCGGTTCCACGCCACAGGTGGAGCCAGCAGCATCAGCCACGGGGGGCCTGCAGGGAAGCCCGCTGACCCTCCACCCCAGTCCTCCCAGGCCCCCAGGAGCCTCTCAGTCTCCTGCTCGCTCTCCCCAGGTCCCCTTCGCTCACCGGCTGCTTCTGGGGGTCCCCCCAACTCCCCTGTCTCTCGGGTCCCCAGCTCCGCTGCCCCCAGGCTCTGGAAGGCTCACCTCCATTCTCCCCGCCTGCACCTCCGACAGGGACCCCACCCCTGCCCCCCACCCCGCCCTCCCCCGGCTCCGTCCACCCCTGCGCTCCTCCGCCGGGACTTCCCCCTCCTCCTCGCGGGGCCGCCCCGCCCCGTGACTCCCAGGGACCGCCGGGGCTTTCCTTGGCGCCCACGCCGGGCTGGGGAAAGGTCGCGGCCAGCGGGCGGGCCTCCCCGCTCCGCCCGCGCCCACCCTGCAGACGCGGGGCGCGAGGACCGGCGAGGGCTGCGCGCCCCGGGGCGGGGGAGGCGCCCGGGAGGACCGGCGACGGCTTGCAGTTTCTGCTGGGAGGCAAAGCGCACCCGGTGCCAGGCCCAGCGGGCCAGAGGCCGACTTCCTGGGGTACCTTTTCTCCTGGTTGATTTTACTTTGGGTAAAAAAAAAAAATCCCTTTGGTGCAACTTAAGAGGCCGCCCTGCGAGAAAGACGACCCTGGGGGGTGGCTGGTTGTGGGGACAAGTCGGCAGCTCGGCCCGCCTCGCTGTGTGGTCCCAGGTGCCCCCGTGACCCCTCCGGACCTTGGGTTGCGGTGGTGGCCGCGCAGGCGGGGGCTGCAGCCAGCTCCCCCCCCCCCGCCCCGGGGTGCGTCAGTGCGCCCAGGGCCCGGCCAGGCTCCAGGACGGCCGGTACCAGCGGTGGCACGGCGGCCAGGTTTCGTAATAAGCCGGTCTCTTAATTGCTACAGGGTAGAAGGGGGAAAAAAGGCCAAGATTTGCCGGAGTTGGGTGGTGGCGCCTGCTGCAGAGAGAAGAGGCACTGTTCCTGCAAAGCCGGGAGCTCTAATGGGGACTAAGTCACACTTCCTGGTGCGCTGGGGGCGGGAGGGCGCCGCGGCTCGCAGCGCGGGGGGCGGGGCCGTCTTCCTTCGCAGAAGCCGAAAATACACACCAGGACCCAGAGGCTTGAGAAATTTATTACAAGGCCATCAAAGAAGTAAAAATCTGTCTGAGCATCAGTCTCTCAGTGGTTGAGTAACGAGTGCACGTAACACATGGTCTCTGTCGCTCGCAACCTGGGAGCTCAAGGGCACAGCGCGGCATCAGCCCTAGCTCCCGCGAGGGTGTGGGCCCTCAGTCCTGCAAGCCACGTTCTGCAGATGTCAGCCACAGTCTCAAGGAGGGTGGGGGACAATAAGTCTCACCCAACCCTGCAGTGTAGAGTCCAGGTCCTCCACGATGGGGGAGGCAGCAGCTCCCCGTCCAGCTTCTGCTCAGGAGACCTGGTCCAGGGTCCCCTCTCCTGCTCGCCTGGGTCCCCTCTTCTCCTCTCTCGAGGCCGCCTCTGGCGCTGTTCCTGGATAGCCGCCGGGGTGGCCGCACACTCCCCCTTCTGGTCCTCAGTCTCAGTGACTCTGCCCCCGATGGTCTCATGGGTTGGGTTGTTCTGGGGGATTTGTTCTGGGGGGGAGGGTCAAATGTGTTTTATTTTTTTGGCAGCAACTCAACAGGTCCTGATGCTGGGAAGGGCCTCAGCGCTCCTGGAGAGAGATATAGGGGACCCACTGGTTATTGCCCCGGCTCTCTTCGCAGTAACTGGCTACCTCCACCAAACCGTGGCTCTTCCAGGCATCTGAGTGAGGGTTCTGTGGGAGGAAAAAGGAATGGTTTAGTGGGAGCCCCAGGAAGAGATGGGGAGACTCCCTCTCCTGGGGCCCCTTTGGGGAAAACAGGCCAGCTCAAAATAGCTGCCTGGGTGATGAGGCCAGGGGCAGGGCTGCCCACGGGACATGCCAAGCATGGCTGAGCCCTGAGCTGGTACAGGACTGGTCAGCCCGACTTTGTTGACAAACATGGGCCCAGGTGCCCTGCAGGACGGGGAAGAGACCCAGCTCACCGTGACCAGGAGGCAGTGCAGGTCCCGGGCTTCAGTGGTGCCCTGCACCTCAGTGGGCTCTCCCAGAAGCTGTGCTAGCCGCTGCATGCCGGACACCCTCATAATGTCAATGTCGTTGTCACAGCAAAAGGACTGGATGAGGGTGAAGTGAATTTGCAGGGCGATGTCATCCTCTTCCTCCTCATCAATAGCCAAGAGACACAGGACCACGCTGTCAGGGTCCCTGAGGGAGTTGAAGAGAGAGAGGGTCAAGTGAGGATCATGGAAAGGCCACCAAGCACGAGGAGTTTGCAAGAGCAAAGAGAAACTACAGGAGGTGGAGACTGGCATCCGCATGCTGACTGGGGAGGGGGGCACGATTCAAAATATGGAGAATAGGACGTTCAAAAGGGGGGCTGCAAGCCATGCACTGTCATGTCAGGACGCTGCAACTCCTATCCCCCCAAAAGCAGAGGAACCCCGAATGCATAGTGTGTGGGGGGGCACTCGCTAAGTCTCAGCGCTGTTCGAGACAGGGGCATAGGGAACCTGCAAAGCAGAGGGGCGCCCCCACTGCACCCAGCCCAGGAAGGGGGTCTGACTCACACATTCATCAGCTTGGCTGACTCGTACACCCCCACCGTCAGGCGGTCCTGGCGCTGCGCGGCCACCAACAGCTCCTCCACCGCGGCGGTCACCGTCTGCATCCTGAAGCCAGGGAGAGGAGAGTCAGCGCCGGGCGGGCCACCTAGCGCCGCCGCACAGTCCACCCCTCAGGCGGCGGGGCCCCAGCTACTTACTTCTGAGCTGCGTTGTCACACGCCACGAGCTCTTCCAGCGTCATGTTGCAGTTATAATCCACAGTGGACGCAACCCCACGACAAATCCCAAGGAGAAATTGCAAAACCGGAGCCAGAGAGCCCAAAACCTTCCCACGGAGCCGGAACTGTCCAAGAACTTCGAGAAGTAAAAGAATTCCTTCAGTAAAAATGGGTGAAGAAAAGACAGCAAAAGTCCTCAGCGAGAAATAATCCACGAGGCTGAAGATCCACGCTCCGTACCTTAGCTTGGCGATTTGAGCCCGCGGCCACCGGCGCCGCTTTTTATAGACTTGTAAGGCAGGGGCGTGGCCTCGACGAGACTACTCTTCCCTTCTATTGGCGGAAAAACAAAGGCCAGAGCAGCAAGCGCTTCGGTTGGCCGCCGCCGTGGAGGGGGCGGAGCGCTGCGCTAGGATGCCCCACGTGGGGGCGAGAGCTGGGAGGAGGGAGCGGGGTGGGAGCCCGCGAGTGCCAGAAAAGAAAAAAAAAACAGAAGTTTTCTCCTGATTTCCCGGCAGCCGCGCCGCGGTTCGGGGCGCGCGCGGGATTTCCAGCGCGCGAGGCTGCCTGGACTTTCGCGGGGCGGGGCGCGGGGGGGGGACCTGGAATCCCCTCCTTATCCCCGGAGAGTCCCGGCTTGAGCCTTTCCAAGCTGTGCTGGGGGATCTCATGGGGAAGGCGCTCAGTTTGCACACTGATCCCTCCCAGGAGGTCATTAGGTGGGTCTCTCCGGGCCGTGGGTACCCCACACCCAGGCTGACTTCACTTCTCTGGGGAAAGCGGCACCGACCTCATTGGTTGGCATGTGCATTGTGTAAAATTACGGACATACAATAAGCACCCCGTAAGCTTGGTAGTTCTCAGGAGGCCTCTACAAAAGCGGGGGCTGCAAAGGCACCCTCTGGGTCCCCACCTGTCCCCTAAGAATCAATGCACACCGGCCTCATGGGGCTGGAGGGAGCCTTAAGTGTACACGGCGCTCAATAAGTGTCATCTGGAGGTCGCGATAGCACCTGGAAGTTCCCAAATGCAGGGGCTGCAAAGCCCTGGGCACCCTGGGGAAGAGACCGGGCGCCCCCTCCGCACCCCGGGCAAGTTTCAGGGTGGGGTGCGCGTGGGAGGCGCAGGTGGCGCGGCCCGGAGGCGCTGTGCTGGCGGGTCCCGCCCCCTGCCGGCCGCCTCTCGGTCCACCCTCTGACCGCGTCTCGCCGCCGGCCTGCGAGGAGAAACTGGGCCCGGGAGAAGGCGTGGGGAGCGCGGTTCTGGTTGGCGCTGCACGCCAGTGACTGGGACTTGGTCGCAGTGTTGAGGGTGACTTTCGTTTCCTCGCCCCCAGGTGGCCCTTATCGAGGCGTGGTGTGAAACCGACCCCTTCCCCGTGTCGCAGAGTCTTTATTTAATCAAGGAGCGGGGAAGCCGAGGCTATGCTTCTTATGCAAAACGGGAAGCCGAGGCCTGGAGAGGCTGTCGCAGCCCAGTCGGAGCCACCGTGTGGGCCAGGCACTGCACGAGCTAGGCGGGCAGACCCGCGTGGGACTGTCTCCCACGGCCCCTCGGGGGCTCCCAGTGACTCACATCTGCGTCCCCTCCCCCGCCGTCCTCCGGCCTGGCCTCGGCCCGGCGGCTCGGTTCCCTCGGTTCGGCGGCCCGCGGGTCCAGCTGACGCATCGCGCCGCCTCCGCGCCGCCCACCGCGGGGGTGCGAAAGGTCCCTGGCGCGGCGAGGCGCGACGGCGCCACCTGGTGGCCGCCGAGGTCCCGGCGCCCGCGGAGCCGGAAGGGCGGGGCGGGGTGAGGGAGGTGAGGAGGGTCCCTGCAGTGTGGCCTGAGGCGCCTGTTTTCTATTTTGTAGATGCAGTGTTTTATTTTATTTATTTATTTTTTTAAATAGATAATTTTTTATATTTATTTTTCAGTTTTCGGTGGACACAACATCTTTATTTTGTTTGTATGTGGTGCTGAGATGCGAACCCGGCGCCCCGCGCATGCCAGGCGAGCGCGCTACCGCTGGAGCCACATCCCCAGCCCCTGCAGTGTTTTATTTTATTTTTAAAAATTTTTAATTTTTTGTACCAGGGATTGAACTCAGCGGCATCGACCACCGAGCCCCATCCCAGCCCTATTCTGTATTTTATTTAGAGACAGGGTCTCACTGAGTTGCTTAGCGCCCCCTGTTGCTAGTCTGGCTTTGAACTTGAAATCCTCCTGCCTCGGCCTCGGGAGCCGCTGGGATCACTGGCGGGCGCCACCGCCCTCGGCTGATGCAGTAATTTAAAAAAAATCAAATATGCAAACTATTGCCTGGGAATCTTTATCATTACGGTTACTATTATGGTGAAATACACGTAAGAACATTCGCGATTTCAACCGTTTCTAAGTGCAAATTGGCATACCAAAAATAGGGTCACAATGTTGTGTGACCATCGTCACCAGCTCTACCCACAGCTCTTTTCTAATGAGTGCTGGGGACTGAACCCGGGGCCTTGTGCCTGCTAGGCAAGTGCCCTCCCTCTGAGCGACACCCGTGCAGGTGGTGCGTTCCCATCGTGCCTTGCAGACTCATCGCTCACGCCCTGTCCTCAGTGTCTGGACCCTGAACGGCCTTTCCATCAGCATGGAGCTGCCTATTCCGCCGGTGGAGAGGAGGCCCAGTGCTGTCTTCTGTGACTGGCGCGGGTCATCCGCAGGACACCTGGAAGCTCATCCATGTGGCACATCGGCCAGGACACCCTTCTGCTCCAGGGTGAATGACAGGGTTCCATCCTTTGGAAGGACCACCTCGTCCCTCCGTGGCACTGGCTGGCTTTGGACTGTTGTGGATGCCTGCTTTTGTGAATAAAGTTTTGTTAGACCCAGGGCCGGTGTGGGGGCAAAGCAAGCAAGGCACTTGTCTTGGGCACAGAAGTTTGGTCCTCACGGTGAATTTTTTCTTTCTTTTTTTTAATATTTGTTTTTTAGTCGTAGGTGGACACAACACCTTTATTTTATTTATTTTTATGTGGTGCTGAGGCTCGAACCCGGGTCCCGCCCGTGCTAGGCGAGTGCTCTACTGCCGAGCCCAGCCCTGAGTGTTCTCCCCGAGTGGGTGCTGAGGAGTGAACCTGGGACCTCACCCAGCACCAGCCCTACCCTGAGCCACCCCCAGCCCTGATGGTGACTTTTGAAAATTCTGCATCACAGTATGATCCTGGGGTTGAGTTGTCACCACCCCCCAGATGTTTCACCATAGTCTCTGCCCTGAAATGCCTCTGGGAGCCCGATGAGAGGCCACCCTGTCTCCTCTGGGACCCGAAGCCCACCCTCCACCTGAAAGGGAGTCTTGCAATTGGAATCTCTTGCTGCTAAAATGGAGCAGCTCAGCCCCTTTTAAAACCCGATGGTGTGTGGGCGACAGGAGTGATGGGACCTCCACCCGCGGCCCCTGCAGCCCTTCCCCTGCTGCAGCGCTGGTGTGATCCTCGGGGCTTGCACAGCGGGAGGAGGCTGGTTCCGGGCACTCTGAACACGCCAGAGCCCAGGCAGGGCTGGGGAGAGGGAGGTTCTGTCAGGGGCTGGACAGGGATCGGGCTGTGGGCACCATAGGTCGGGGCGGCCAGCAAGGCCAGCTGCCTAGGACGCTCAGGGCTTGGCTGGCGCAGGCTGGATATGGCATGGGGTGCGGGAGCCGCTGGGACAGAGGCCAGGCCCGGGGAAGGGTGTTGTGGCTGCTGTGGGCGCTCCTGAGAAGGGTCAGGGACATTCCCCTTTGAGGCCCTGCTCCACCCTCCATGTCAGGCTGCTCAAGGGCAAGGGCCTCGGGGGAGTCTGGTGGGATGAACAGAGCTCAGAAGGGGGCCTGGGCCAGGTGGGGCTCAGGGGCAGCGTTCTGGGCTTCATCCCCAGTCCAGGAGAGAAACGGAGGAAGAGGAAATAAAGGCAGAAGCCGGCTGGGGTTGGCTCAGGTGGAGCGCTCGCCCAGCACGTGAGAGGAGCGGGGTTCCATCCTCAGCACCCCAAAAAAGTTAACTAACTGAACAAAGGTGTTGCGTCCAACTACAAATAAAAAATATATTTAAAAAAGAGGGCTGGGCTGGGGCTCAGGGGCAGAGCCGAGCACGTGTGGGCCCTGGGTTCGATTCTCAGCACCGCATCTAAATAAATAAAGTCCATTGACAACTAAAGAAATATTAAAAAGAGAAAGAAAGAAGCCTGGCCCCATGGCCCATGCCTGTCACCCCAGCTCCTGGACAGGCTGAGGCAGGAGGATCTCGAGTTCATGTCCAGCCTCAGCAACTTAGCCAAGACCCTGTGTCCCCCATCCTTGCTGGGGGCTGTCCACGTGAGGTGCCACCTGACCTCAGACACTGGTGGGAGCTTCTGGGCGCTGACCAGCAGGGCAGGAAGGGGGTCGGCAGACAGGTCCAGCACTCCAGGAGCTGGCAGTGCGGGCCGCTCGTGACCCATGCATTATTGGAGCCAGAGCTGGGATGAAGTGGCCCCAGCAGCCCCCCGACTGGACAGGGGCCAGGACACCAGGGGTCCTGCTACGACTGGATTCAGAGACCCCCTTCTTTGAAGCCTCCAGCCTGTGCCCAGGCCACCTTGGTCCCCTCCAACCTGATCATGTGCACTTCTAGATGGCAGGTGCCGCGGCCACCCTGGCCACCCTGGCCACCTCCTTAGGACTCCTCCCCGCAGCGCTGGGCTGCCCTTCTCTGGTGCTCTAGTGGATCCTGATGCTTCCCTGCCCCTTCCTGACGTGGATCGTGGATCTCCTTTGAATTTGCAAGACAAAGAACTTAGGAACCCTTGTGTCTCCAATGTGGTACTCATGGGGGGGCATGGGGCTACTTCAGAGGGGGTCAGGGTGGCCCCTCTGGGAAGGTGACATTTGAGCTAGACCTGGTGGCTGGGGAAATCCAGGCTTGAGAGGCTCTGAGGGAGGAACAGTCTCGGCAGTGGGCACAGCTGCACAAAGGCCCTGGGGCAGGAGAGACGGGGTTGTGTTGGAGACCCACTGAGGAGCCCCTGTGTGGAGCAGAGGGAGGAGGGCGGGAGGAGAAGGGGGCCAGCCTTGGGGGCTGCAGGAGAGGTCTGGGTGGGCCTCCGGGTGTGGCCAGGAAGCCACTGGCAAGACTGAAGTAGGGAAGGGTGGGCTATGACATCATGTTTTCTTGTACAAATGAACAAGATGAGATTCCTGTCCCCAAGGAGAAGTTTCCGGGTGGGGGTGACTCATCCTGTGAAGGTCCAGACGTTTGTAAGGCAGGAAGGGCTGGGAGGAGGTGGGA